CGTACCTTCACCTCACACATCGGCCTGGTCGGTAACTTGCGAATCCATCGCACAGAGCCTGGCGAACCAGTGCGTGAAGCACCAACCTACACACACCACACTCGCCTCCACTGCCCACACTGCCCTCGAACCTTCAGGCATCGCATGGGTCTATTCGGCCACATGCGCATCCACGACGACCTGCGGTAGACAACCGCCGGCCACACCACACATTCACTCACTCCCTACCTCCTCCTCCACCACCACCATCACCCCACCAGAAATCAACACTCACACACCTCATGCACCCAACTGCCACCTCCCACGCAAGTGGTAAGTCCGCATCTCGACTCGGTCCCCATGCGGCTTCGGCTGCACGGGTGACTTGAGTCCAAGACTATCCCGAAACGTCAAGCGTCGTGGATAGGAAGGTTGCTGATTGACGCCCGCTCTCGGTTCACGCAGTTCGTCGCGTTGTGCGTGTGTTGTGTGGAGTGGCGGACTGGTGGGCTGGGAACGGGCTGAAACCGCACCTTCCACGGAACTCTCACGCAAGTGAGAGACACGCCGTTCAACGCCCGTTGTGTGAAATCCTGGTTTTGTGTGTATGGGGGGCCAGGTCGTGCCGTGGCGCGCGCAGACATGGTCAGTCGACCATGACAGCCACCGCGCCCACTCCCCATTCCAGTCTGCTGACCGAATCGGACAGCGGCTGGGGTGTGGTAGTGGGAAGGGAGAGTGAGGTCGACGACTCAGCGTACTTCCCCTCACTATAAACAATGTGACGCGCTTGAAGCTATTACGGTGCGCTAAAAGCCGTGGCTTGGAAGGTTGCCAACTGACGGGGTAACTTGGACCTCCTCCTAGACCGCAGGCGGTCTGAGAGTCAGGCTGCAATGGCTCCTTTTTAATGTGGCCCTTATGGCACTCCCATCACAGTGTGGGATCCGAGCCAGGCGTTGGCGGCACGCCCAGGTGCGGCTTCGGACGCGCCAGCCTCGAAATCTCTGTTGTGTTGGTTGAAATCCTGGTTATTTGTTGTGTGGGCCAGGGGGTGTGGTGGAAAGCCAAGCTGAGGATGAGAACGAGACATCAAACTACGGCGTCTCGTCTCCGGACGTCTTGACACAGACTCGAAAACGGGCTAGGGCGAGGGAGGAGGAGAGGGTGCAGGTAGATACTACGCAAGTCAAACGGCACAATAAACTCCTGCGTAAGACAATGTCACTGCACCCATTGCTGCAGCAACTGTGGGGCACACGATGGACATCATCGAAACCGATGGTCGAAAAGTCACTGTGCCACATAGATGAACGCCTAATGCTACTGCGCATGCTGTCCGCACAGACAGGTCTACCAACGCCTGCCAATCATGACTGCTCTGCCACATGTCCCAATTCACATGCGCATCATGGACTGCGCAAAGCAACAACAACAACAGCAACAACAACATGTACATACAATTGCATTGCCTGACGCACTGCTAACTACTGCTTCTGCTGCCTTCATCTACATATATGTAGGTGCAGACAGCGGGGCATGTGGATGTGCGCCTGCAGTATGCACAAGTTCCCACTGGCATCATACTGGTAAGAGTGGACAAACCTGATTCATGCGATACGTCACTTCCTGTCGCCAGGCCCAGGCCCTCACTTGGCGTTACTAAAAGGAAGAAAGCCATTGAAGACGGTGTGAATGCCAGACAAATTGCTATGCCTCGGCCAACAGCAACTGCCACAGCAACAACAACAACAACAACATCCTCATCAGCATCAGCATCCAGCCCGACTGTCATATTTCCACCACAATCCCACCTCATTACCTCTGCTCACTATGTGACAATCATGCAAGGCATACCTCAGTTGCACTTAGTAGACATTCGGCACAACCACCCTCATGCGCAATGCAACCGACCAATCCATCTCTAATCACACAATGCCCATCTCCTCACTGCTCCACGCAACTGCCCTTGACGCTGCCGCTGCCGCTGCCGCTGCTGCTGCTTCGGCTGCACCTGATGCCTCATCCGGCTGCCGGCTGCCGGCTGCCGTCTGCACAACCATCATGCCCACCTCGGTGATCTGCATTAGCATCGCCAAGGCCACCAGCGCCGCATGTGCGGGCCACGTACTACTTACTGTGCCACATACATGAATGCCTAATGCTACTGCGCATGCTGTCCGCACAGGCAGGTCTACCAATGCCTGCCAATCATGACTGCTCTGCCACATGTCCCAATTCACATGCGCATCATGGACTGCGCAAAGCAAGAACAACAACAACAACAACAACAACAACATGTACATACAATTGCATTGCCTGACGCACTGCTAACTACTGCTTCTGCTGCCTTCATCTACATATATGTAGGTGCAGACAGCGGGGCATGTGGATGTGCGCCTGCAGTATGCACAAGTTCCCACTGGCATCATACTGGTAAGAGTGGACAAACCTGATTCATGCGATACGTCACTTCCTGTCGCCAGGCCCAGGCCCTCACTTGGCGTTACTAAAAGGAAGATAGCCATTGAAGACGGTGTGAATGCCAGACAAATTGCTATGCCTCGGCCAACAGCAACTGCCACAGCAACAACAACAACAACATCCTTATCAGCATCAGCATCAGCATCCAGTCCGACTGTCATATTTCCACCACAATCCCACCTCATTACCTCTGCTCACTATGTGACAATCATGCAAGGCATACCTCAGTTGCACTTAGTAGACATTCGGCACAACCATCCTCATGCGCAATGCAACCGACCAATCCATCTCTAATCACACAATTCCCGTCTCCTCACAGCTCCACGCACCTGCCGTTGCCGCTGCCGCTGCTGCTGCTGCTGCTGCTTCGGCTGCACCTGATGCCTCATCCGGCTGCCGGCTGCCGGCTGCCGTCTGCACAACCATCATGCCCACCTCGGTGATCTGCAATAGCATCGCCAAGGCCGCCAGCGCCGCATGTGCGGGCCACGTACTCCTTACTGTGCCACATACATGAATGCCTAATGCTACTGCGCATGCTGTCCGCACAGGCAGGTCTACCAATGCCTGCCAATCATGACTGCTCTGCCACATGTCCCAATTCACATGCGCATCATGGACTGCGCAAAGCAAGAACAACAACAACAACAACAACAACAACATGTACATACAATTGCATTGCCTGACGCACTGCTAACTACTGCTTCTGCTGCCTTCATCTACATATATGTAGGTGCAGACAGCGGGGCATGTGGATGTGCGCCTGCAGTATGCACAAGTTCCCACTGGCATCATACTGGTAAGAGTGGACAAACCTGATTCATGCGATACGTCACTTCCTGTCGCCAGGCCCAGGCCCTCACTTGGCGTTACTAAAAGGAAGAAAGCCATTGAAGACGGTGTGAATGCCAGACAAATTGCTATGCCTCGGCCAACAGCAACTGCCACAGCAACAACAATAACAACATCCTCATCAGCATCAGCATCAGCATCCAGCCCGACTGTCATATTTCCACGAAAATCCCACCTCATTACCTCTGATCACTATGTGACAATCATGCAAGGCATACCTCAGTTGCACTTAGTAGACATTCGGCACAACCATCCTCATGCGCAATGCAACCGACCAATCCATCTCTAATCACACAATGCCCATCTCCTCACTGCTCCACGCACCTGCCGTTGCCGCTGCCGCTGCCGCTGCCGTTGCCGCTGCTGCTGATTCGGCTGCACCTGATGCCTCATCCGGCTGCCGGCTGCCGGCTGCCGTCTGCACAACCATCATGCCCACCTCGGTGATCTGCAATAGCATCGCCAAGGCCGCCAGCGCCGCATGTGCGGGCCACGTACTCCTTACTGTGCCACATACATGAATGCCTAATGCTACTGCGCATGCTGTCCGCACAGGCAGGTCTACCAATGCCTGCCAATCATGACTGCTCTGCCACATGTCCCAATTCACATGCGCATCATGGACTGCGCAAAGCAACAACAAAAACAACAACAACAACAACAACAACAACAACAACATGTACATACAATTGCATTGCCTGACGCACTGCTAACTACTGCTTCTGCTGCCTTCATCTACATATATGTAGGTGCAGACAGCGGGGCATGTGGATGTGCGCCTGCAGTATGCACAAGTTCCCACTGGCATCATACTGGTAAGAGTGGACAAACCTGATTCATGCGATACGTCACTTCCTGTCGCCAGGCCCAGGCCCTCACTTGGCGTTACTAAAAGGAAGAAAGCCATTGAAGACGGTGTGAATGCCAGACAAATTGCTATGCCTCGGCCAGCAGCAACAGCAGCAACAACATCCTCATCAGCATCAGCATCCAGCCCAACTGTCATATTTCCACCAAAATCCCACCTCATTACCTCTGCTCACTATGTGACAATCATGCAAGGCATACCTCCGTTGCACTTAGTAGACATTCGGCACAACCATCCTCATGCGCAATGCAAACGACCGATCTGTCTCTAGTCACACAATGCCCATCTCCTCACTGCTCCACGCACCTGCCGTTGCCGCTGCCGCTGCTGCTGCTGCTGTTGCTTCGGCTGCACCTGCTGCCTCATCCGGCTGCCGGCTGCCGGCTGCCGTCTGCACAACCATCATGCCCACCTCGGTGATCTGCAATAGCATCGCCAAGGCCGCCAGCGCCGCATGTGCGGGCCACGTACTCCTTACTGTGCCACATACATGAATGCCTAATGCTACTGCGCATGCTGTCCGCACAGGCAGGTCTACCAATGACTGCCAGTCATGACTGCTCTGCCACATGTCCCAGTTCACATGCGCATCATGGACTGCGCAAAGCAACAACAGCAACAACAACATGTGCATACAATTGCATTGCCTGACGCACTGCTACCTACTGCTTCTGCTGCCTTCATCTACATATATGTAGGTGCAGACAGCGGGGCATGTGGATGTGCGCCTGCAGTATGCACAAGTTCCCACTGGCATCATACTGGTAAGAGTGGACAAACCTGATTCATGCGATACGTCACTTCCTGTCGCCAGGCCCAGGCCCTCACTTGGCGTTACTAAAAGGAAGAAAGCCATTGAAGACGGTGTGAATGCCAGACAAATTGCTATGCCTCGGCCAACAGCAACTGCCACAGCAACAACAACAACAACAACATCCTCATCAGCATCAGCATCAGCATCCAGCCCGACTGTCATATTTCCACCAAAATCCCACCTCATTACCTCTGCTCACTATGTGACAATCATGCAAGGCATACCTCAGTTGCACTTAGTAGACATTCGGCACAACCATCCTCATGCGCAATGCAACCGACCAATCCATCTCTAATCACACAATGCCCATCTCCTCACTGCTCCACGCACCTGCCGTTGCCGCTGCCGCTGCCGCTGCCGGTGCCGCTGCTGCTGCTGCTGGTTCGGCTGCACCTGATGCCTCATCCGGCTGCCGGCTGCCGGCTGCCGTCTGCACAACCATCATGCCCACCTCGGTGATCTGCATTAGCATCGCCAAGGCCGCCAGCGCCGCATGTGTGGGCCACGTACTCCTTACTGTGCCAAATACATGAATGCCTAATGCTACTGCGCATGCTGTCCGCACAGGCAGGTCTACCAATGCCTGCCAATCATGACTGCTCTGCCACATGTCCCAATTCACATGCGCATCATGGACTGCGCAAAGCAACAACAACAACAACAACAACATGTACATACAATTGCATTGCCTGACGCACTGCTAACTACTGCTTCTGCTGCCTTCATCTACATATATGTAGGTGCAGACAGCGGGGCATGTGGATGTGCGCCTGCAGTATGCACAAGTTCCCACTGGCATCATACTGGTAAGAGTGGACAAACCTGATTCATGCGATACGTCACTTCCTGTCGCCAGGCCCAGGCCCTCACTTGGCGTTACTAAAAGGAAGAAAGCCATTGAAGACGGTGTGAATGCCAGACAAATTGCTATGCCTCGGCCAACAGCAACTGCCACAGCAGCAACAACAACAACAACATCCTCATCAGCATCAGCATCCAGCCCGACTGTCATATTTCCACCAAAATCCCACCTCATTACCTCTGCTCACTACGTGACAATCATGCAAGGCATACCTCAGTTGCACTTAGTAGACATTCGGCACAACCATCCTCATGCGCAATGCAACCGACCAATACATCCCTAATCACACAATGCCCATCTCCTCACTGATCCACGCACCTGCCGTTGCCGCTGACGCTGCTGCTGCTGCTGTTGCTTCGGCTGCACCTGATGCCTCATCCGGCTGCCGGCTGCCGGCTGCCGTCTGCACAACCATCATGCCCACCTCGGTGATCTGCAATAGCATCGCCTAGGCCGCCAGCGCGGCATGTGCGGGCCACGTACTCCTTACTGTGCCACATACATGAATGCCTAATGCTACTGCGCATGCTGTCCGCACAGGCAGGTCTACCAATGCCTGCCAATCATGACTGCTCTGCCACATGTCCCAATTCACATGCGCATCATGGACTGCGCAAAGCAACAACAACAACAACAACAACAACAACAACAACAACAACAACATGTACATACAATTGCATTGCCTGACGCACTGCTAACTACTGCTTCTGCTGCCTTCATCTACATATATGTAGGTGCAGACAGCGGGGCATGTGGATGTGCGCCTGCAGTATGCACAAGTTCCCACTGGCATCATACTGGTAAGAGTGGACAAACCTGATTCATGCGATACGTCACTTCCTGTCGCCAGGCCCAGGCCCTCACTTGGCGTTACTAAAAGGAAGAAAGCCATTGAAGACGGTGTGAATGCCAGACAAATTGCCATGCCTCGGCCAACAGCAACTGCCACAGCAACAACAAAAACAACAACATCCTCATCAGCATCAGCATCAGCATCCAGCCCGACTGTCATATTTCCACCACAATCCCACCTCGTTACCTCTGCTCACTATGTGACAATCATGCAAGGCATACCTCAGTTGCACATAGTAGACATTCGGCACAACCATCCTCATGCGCAATGCAACCGACCAATACATCTCTAATCTTACAATGCCCATCTCCTCACTGCTCCACGAACGTGCCGTTGCCGCTGCCGCTGACGCTGCCGCTGCTGCTGCTTCGGCTGCACCTGATGCCTCATCCGGCTGCCGGCTGCCGGCTGCCGTCTGCACAACCATCATGCCCACCTCGGTGATCTGCAATAGCATCGCCAAGGCCGCCAGCGCCGCATGTGCGGGCCACGTACTCCTTACTGTGCCACATACATGAATGCCTAATGCTACTGCGCATGCTGTCCGCACAGGCAGGTCTACCAATGCCTGCCAATCATGACTGCTCTGCCACATGTCCCAATTCACATGCGCATCATGGACTGCGCAAAGCAACAACAACAACAACCACAACAACAACATGTACATACAATTGCATTGCCTGACGCACTGCTAACTACTGCTTCTGCTGCCTTCATCTACATATATGTAGGTGCAGACAGCGGGGCATGTGGATGTGCGCCTGCAGTATGCACAAGTTCCCACTGGCATCATACGGGTAAGAGTGGACAAACCTGATTCATGCGATACGTCACTTCCTGTCGCCAGGCCCAGGCCCTCACTTGGCGTTTCTAAAAGGAAGAAAGCCATTGAAGACGGTGTGAATGCCAGACAAAATGCTATGCCTCGGCCAACAGCAACTGCCACAGCAACAGCAGCAACAACAACGACATCCTCATCGGCATCAGCATCAGCATCCAGCCCGACTGTCATATTTCCACCACAATCCCACCTCATTACCTCTGCTCACTATGTGACAATCATGCAAGGCATACCTCAGTTGCACTTAGTAGACATTCGGCACAACCATCCTCATGCGCAATGCAACCGACCAATCCATCCCTAATCACACAATGCCCAACTCCTCACTGCTCCACGCACCTGCCGTTGCCGCTGCCGCTGCCGTTGCCGCTGCTGCTGCTTCGGCTGCACCTGATGCCTCATCCGGCTGCCGGCTGCCGGCTGCCGTCTGCACAACCATCATGCCCACCTCGGTGATCTGCAGTAGCATCGCCAAGGCCGCCAGCGCCGCATGTGCGGGCCACGTACTCCTTACTGTGCCACATACATGAATGCCTAATGCTACTGCGCATGCTGTCCGCACAGGCAGGTCTACCAATGCCTGCCAATCATGACTGCTCTGCCACATGTCCAAATTCACATGCGCATCATGGACTGCGCAAAGCAACAACAACAACAACAACATGTACATACAATTGCATTGCCTGACGCACTGCTAACTACTTCTTCTGCTGCCTTCATCTACATATATGTAGGTGCAGACAGCGGGGCATGTGGATGTGCGCCTGCAGTATGCACAAGTTCCCACTGGCATCATACTGGTAAGAGTGGACAAACCTGATTCATGCGATACGTCACTTCCTGTCGCCAGGCCCAGACCCTCACTTGGCGTTACTAAAAGGAAGAAAGCCATTGAAGACGGTGTGAATGCCAGACAAATTGCTATGCCTCGGCCAACAGCAACTGCCACAGCAACAACAACAACAACATCCTCATCAGCATCAGCATCCAGACCGCCTGTCATATTTCCACCACAATCCCACCTCATTACCTCTGCTCACTATGTGACAATCATGCAAGGCATACCTCAGTTGCACATAGAATACATTCGGCACAACCATCCTCATGCGCAATGCAACCGACCAATCCATCTCTAATCACACAATGCCCATCACCTCACTGCTCCAAGAACCTGCCGTTGCCGCTGCCTCTGCTGCCGCCGCTGCTGCTTCGGCTGCACCTGATACCTCATCCGGCTGCCGGCTGCCGGCTGCCGTCTGCACATCCGACATGCCCACCTCGGTGATCTGCAATAGCATCGCCAAGGCCGCCAGCGCCGCATGTGCGGGCCACGTACTCCTTACTGTGCCACATACATGAATGCCTAATGCTACTGCGCATGCTGTCCGCACAGGCAGGTCTACCAATGCCTGCCAATCTTGACTGCTCTGCCACATGTCCCAATTCACATGCGCATCATGGACTGCGCAAAGCAACAACAACAACAACAACAACAACAACATGTACATACAATTGCATTGCCTGACGCACTGCTAACTACTGCTTCTGCTGCCTTCATCTACATATATGTAGGTGCAGACAGCGGGGCATGTGGATGTGCGCCTGCAGTATGCACAAGTTCCCACTGGCATCATACTGGTAAGAGTGGACAAACCTGATTCATGCGATACGTCACTTCCTGTCGCCAGGTCCAGGCCCTCACTTGGCGTTACTAAAAGGAATAAAGCCATTGAAGGCGGTGTGAATGCCAGACAAATTGCTATGCCTCGGCCAACAGCAACTGCCACAGCAACAACAACAACAACAACATCCTCATCAGCATCAGCATCAGCAACCAGCCCGACTGTCATATTTCCACCACAATCCCACCTCATTACCTCTGCTCACTATGTGACATACATGCAAGGCATACCTCAGTTGCACTTAGTAGACATTCGGCACAACCATCCTCATGCGCAATGCAACCGACCAATCCATCTCTAATCACACAATGCCCATCTCCTCACTGCTCCACGCACCTGCCGTTGCCGCTGCCGCTGCCGCTGCCGCTGACGCTGCCGCTGCTGCTGCTTCGGCTGCACCTGATGCCTCATCCGGCTGCCGGCTGCCGGCTGCCGTCTGCGCAACCATCATGCCCACCTCGGTGATCTGCAATAGCATCGCCAAGGCCGCCAGCGCCGCATGTGCGGGCCACGTACTCCTTACTGTGCCACATACATTAATGCCTAATGCTACTGCGCATGCTGTCCGCACAGGCAGGTCTACCAATGCCTGCCAATCATGACTGCTCTGCCACATGTCCCAATTCACATGCGCATCATGGACTGCGCAAAGCAACAACAACAACAACAACAACATGTACATACAATTGCATTGCCTGACGCACTGCTAACTACTGCTTCTGCTGCCTTCATCTACATATATGTAGGTGCAAACAGCGGGGCATGTGGATGTGCGCCTGCAGTATGCACAAGTTCCCACTGGCATCATACTGGTAAGAGTGGACAAACATGATTCATGCGATACGTCACTTCCTGTCGCCAGGCCCAGGCACTCACTTGGCGTTACTAAAAGGAAGAAAGCCATTGAAGACGGTGTGAATGCCATACAAAATGCTATGCCTCGGCCAACAGCAACTGCCACAGCAACAACAACAACAACAACAACATCCTCATCAGCATCAGCATCAGCATCCAGCCCGACTGTCATATTTCCACCACAATCCCACCTCATTACCTCTGCTCACTATGTGACAATCATGCAAGGCATACCTCAGTTGCACTTAGTAGACATTCGGCACAACCATCCTCATGCGCAATGCAACCGACCAATCCATCTCTAATCACACAATGCCCATCTCCTCACTGCTCCACGCACCTGCCGTTGCCGCTGCCGCTGCCGCTGCTGCTGCTGCTGCTGCTGCTGCACCTGATGCCTCATTCGGCTGCCGGCTGTCGGCTGCCGTCTGCACAACCATCATGCACACCTCGGTGATCTGCAATAGCATAGCCAAGGCCGCCAGCGCCGCATGTGCGGGCCACGTACTCCTTACTGTGCCACATACATGAATGCCTAATGCTACTGCGCATGCTGTCCGCACAGGCAGGTCTACCAATGCCTGCCAATCATGACTGCTCTGCCACATGTCCCAATTCACATGCGCATCATGGACTGCGCAAAGCAACAACAACAACAACAACAACAACATCAACAACAACATGTACATACAATTGCATTGCCTGACGCACTGCTAACTTCTGCTTCTGCTGCATTCGTCTACATATATGTAGGTGCAGACAGCGGGGCATGTGGATGTGCGCCTGCAGTATGCACAAGTTCCCACTGGCATCATACTGGTAAGAGTGGACAAACCTGATTCATGCGATACGTCACTTCCTGTCGCCAGACCCAGGCCCTCACTTGGCGTTACTAAAAGGAAGAAAGCCATTGAAGACGGTGTGAATGCCATACAAAATGCTATGCATCGGCCAACAGCAACAACAACAACAACAACAACAACATCCTCATCAGCATCAGCATCAGCATCCAGCCCGACTGTCATATTTCCACCAAAATCCCACCTCGTTACCTCTGCTCACTATGTGACAATCATGCAAGGCATACCTCAGTTGCACTTAGTAGACATTCGGCACAACCATCCTCATGCGCAATGCAACCGACCAATCCATCCCTAAACACACAATGCCCATCTCCTCACTGCTCCACGCAACTGACGTTGACGTTGCCGCTGCCGCTGCCGCTGCTGCTGCACCTGATGCCTCATCCGGCTGCCGCCTCCGGCTGCCGTCTGCACATCCGACATGCCCACCTCGGTGATCTGCAATAGCATCGCCAAGGCCGCCAGCGCCGCATGTGCGGGCCACGTACTCCTTACTGTGCCACATACATGAATGCCTAATGCTACTGCGCATGCTGTCCGCACAGGCAGGTCTACCAATGCCTGCCAATCATGACTGCTCTGCCACATGTCCCAATTCACATGCGCATCATGGACTGCGCAAAGCAACAACAACAACAACAACAACATGTACATACAATTGCATTGCCTGACGCACTGCTAACTACTGCTTCTGCTGCCTTCATCTACATATATGTAGGTGCAGACAGCGGGGCATGTGGATGTGCGCCTGCAGTATGCACAAGTTCCCACTGGCATCATACTGGTAAGAGTGGACAAACCTGATTCATGCGATACGTCACTTCCTGTCGCCAGGCCCAGGCCCTCACTTGGCGTTACTAAAAGGAAGAAAGCCATTGAAGACGGTGTGAATGCCAGACAAATTGCTATGCCTCGGCCAACAGCAACTGCCACAGCAACAACAACAAAAACATCCTCATCAGCATCAGCATCAGCATCCAGCCCGACTGTCATATTTCCACCAAAATCCCACCTCATTACCTCTGCTCACTATGTGACAATCATGCAAGGCATACCTCAGTGGCACTTAGTAGACATTCGGCACAACCATCCTCATGCGCAATGCAACCGACCAATCCATCTCTAATCACACAATGCCCATCTCCTCACTGCTCCACGCACCTGCCGTTGCCGCTGCCGCTGCCGCTGCCGCTGCTGCTGCTGCTGCTGCACCTGATGCCTCATCCGGCTGCCGGCTGCCGGCTGCCGTTTGCACATCCGACATGCCCACCTCGGTGATCTGCAATAGCATCGCCAAGGCCGCCAGCGCCGCATGTGCGGGCCACGTACTCCTTACTGTGCCACATACATGAATGCCTAATGCTACTGCGCATGCTGTCCGCACAGACAGGTCTACCAATGCCTGCCAATCATGACTGCTCTGCCACATGTCCCAATTCACATGCGCATCATGGACTGCGCAAAGCAACAACAACAACAACAACAACAACATGTACATACAATTGCATTGCCTGACGCACTGCTAACTACTGCTTCTGCTGCATTCATCTACATATATGTAGGTGCAGACAGCGGGGCATGTGGATGTGCGCCTGCCGTATGCACAAATTCCCACTGGCATCATACTGGTAAGAGTGGACAAACCTGATTCATGCGATACGTCACTTCCTGTCGCCAGGCCCAGGCCCTCACTTGGCGTTACTAAAAGGAAGAAAGCCATTGAAGACGGTGTGAATGCCAGACAAATTGCTATGCCTCGGCCAACAGCAACTGCCACAGCAACATCCACTTCAGCATCAGCATCCAGCCCGACTGTCATATTTCCACCACAATCCCACCTCATTACCTCTGCTCACTATGTGACAATCATGCAAGGCATACCTCAGTTGCACTTAGTAGACATTCGGCACAACCATCCTCATGCGCAATGCAACCGACCAATCCATCCCTAATCACACAATGCCCATCTCCTCACTGCTCAACGCACCTGCCGTTGCCGCTGCCGCTGCCGCTGCCGCTGCTGCTGCTGCTGCTGCTGCTGCACCTGATGCCTCATCCGGCTGCCGGCTGCCGGCTGCCGTCTGCACAACCATCATGCCCACCTCGGTGATCTGCAATAGCATCGCCAAGGCCGCCAGCGCCGCATGTGCGGGTCACGTACTCCTTACTGTGCCACATACATGAATGCATAATGCTACTGCGCATGCTGTCCGCACAGGCAGGTCTACCAATGCCTGCCAATCATGACTGCTCTGCCACATGTCCCAATTCACATGCGCATCATGGACTGCGCAAAGCAACAACAACAACAACAACAACAACAACAACAACAACAACAACAACAACATCAACAACAACAACAACAACAACAACAACATGTACATACAATTGCATTGCCTGACGCACTGCTAACTACTGCTTCTGCTGCCTTCATCTACATATATGTAGGTGCAGACAGCGGGGCATGTGGATGTGCGCCTGCAGTATGCACAAGTTCCCACTGGCATCATACGGGTAAGAGTGGACAAACGTGATTCATGCGATACGTCACTTCCTGTCGCCAGGCCCAGGCCCTCACTTGGCGTTACTAAAAGGAAGAAAGCCATTGAAGACGGTGTGAATGCCAGACAAATTGCTATGCCTCGGCCAGCAGCAACTGCCACAGCAACAACAACAACAACATCCTCATCAGCATCAGCATCAGCATCCAGCCCGAC